AAAGTCAATAGGCACAGTCCCAGTTCTGGTCTAAGTCCAGGGGTCAGTCCAGATCCAGACTTTCAAGTCCAAATTCAGGCCGGGAGGCCTCAGCAGCAGTTGAACTTCATTGGGACTCTACTGGGACACATGCAATGCAGGGTCTGGGACAAAAGGAAGGCTGGATTGAGTCAATGCAGACCCAGCGAGGAGTATAAAGGAGGCAGCCAGCCTCATTCCTGTCAGATCTCTACTGGCTGTATCAGCGTGGAAGTGCTGGAGCACTTGTGCGTTAAGTCAGTAGGAGCAGCGCTGGAGGAAGCAGATGCGCTGAGTGAGGAAAGAGGATTGCATGCTGGAAGTGATGCAGCCATAGCTGCCCAGCAAGTTAGTATTAGTACTAGAGGGTTAGTAGTGGTTAGCTATGAGTAGTATCCAGAGTAGATCCTCATGAGTGAAGAGTGTGTATGCATCGTAGGAGGAAGGAACTGAGGCTGAAAGAGTTCATTCAAGGTTCGGCTATGGAAGATACTTACCTGGGTTAGATGTGACCTGCAGAGGTGGCGCTGAAGAAGTAGTGACCACATTGACGACTTGGAGATTGTCTGCAGATGTAGCGCTGATACATTGGAAGCCATATTGATGAGTTGATAAGAGACTGGTGTTGCGCTGATGAGCGCTGGACTCAGGGGAACTTTGAAACACTTGTATTCATAATTCTGATAATATAAGTTGTGAAACTCGGTCCTCTTCTTCTCTACCTTTGTCTATGGTTGAGACTATTGATCACTGCGTGTGAAGATGATGCATGACATGTACACATCTGCGTGAGATGGTCCCTAGGACCCTTGAAGAAGACTTATATTTCTGTTGGGCGCTATACATTCTGAATTTGGAATTCTCTCTACTTAATTTGGTTGTGATAATTGAGATGCGCTTCCTGGTTACCACTCATCTTCCATTGTCCTTCGTGTGAGACCTTGCAATCGGTGTGGCGTGTGTGACATGCATGTTGTCTGGAACACTCCAGCAAGTGACGTACAATCAGGTTCCTTGCAATTTTATTATTTTTAAGATTTTTATTCATGCTTGTGATTGATTGATTGATAGAGGCATTTGCATGTGTGTTATGATTCTCTTTTGAAGTTTCTAACTTTTTTTGTCGTTTTGTGACGATCAGCTGATTGCCTGCTACTCTACAGGCGTTTTGAATTTTGTTCTGACAGAGGAGCACAAGGAGGAGATGAGGCGTTACCTGTACAATCATCAGGTATGTGTTCTGTCTTTCTTTTTCTCCCCCTTTTTTTGGGTGGTACAAAAGAGCTGGAAAAACGGGATGAATAGCTTTTTTTTTTTTTCTTCTTCTTCTTTTTGACAAATTGAACGAAAAGTAGGTAAAATATTCGACGCCGGTGATGCCACAAATAAGATGGTTGACTCACTCTACTGAGTCTGCTGAGCAGCAATGGGCCTCACTTCACTGCACGGCATTTGAAATGTATCTGAAGGTGGGCAGATACATTCCAAATGTTCGACCAGTCGCAATGCACCTGGTCCAGTGCGCAGCCAGATACATGTAGGATGCTGAGTAGTGGAGTGAGGCCCAATGCCAGCCACTACTTACCTATCAGAAGGGGATAACTCTCTAAAGAGTATTTAATATTTATTGTATTCCCCTGTTTTTTCCTTTTCTTTTTTTTTTAATTACCCACCGGTCTTGATGATGATCAGGATTTGAACTCGTGTCCGTATTGACGTCAAGCAAATGGCGACAGGACAGTCAAAGAGAGCGGAGGAGGAGAGGAGGAGAAGAAGAAAAACACAATCTATTGGAAAATACAACAGGGAGAAATGACCAACGGGCCTGGCTCGGTTGGTACACCCATGAACTGTTGTAATACAGGCCCAAGTTTGAATCAGATGAGGGGCTACCAGCCAATCCTGCAATTCTTCGACACTTCAGGATGCGTACAAACAGGTGACGATCAAGCTGCCGACTTGCGGCCACACAAAACTTAGAGATCATGTAACCAGGAACACAGTTCAGATTAAAACTTGACTCACTCGGCTATGGCCGAACACTGTACTCCCAGCAACTTGTTCGCCCACACACCCTGGATCTCCCTGGATGTCCCACACACACAAACACAACACACTCAGACACCCACACTAACACTCTCTACTACTAACCTACGGCAGCTATAGCTGCCTTCTTCTACCTCTACTAACTACAAGCGGCTATGGCCGCGTCTTCCTCCTCTTAGCCCACTTCCTCTTTGGGCACCTGTAGACCTCCGTACACAAGACGCTCCGACAGCCCTTCCGCACGGCTCAAAGGCAGCATGAATGAATGACTTGACGCTGCCTCTTTATTTATACATCGAATCGTCAAAGGTCTGCCCTTGGACCCTGGGCCCGGGGTGCACACAGTCCCACATGGTACTTGCTGACTTGACAAAGTGCGACGGGGACTGGGTACCGCCGACTAGGCTAGGTAGGACAAGGACTACCCTTTGCTGACTGTGCTAGGACCGCCCTTTGCTGACTTAGATGCGGACTGACCCTAAAGACTCTACGGAAGGCCACTGCCGGAAGTTCCGGAAGGTTGCAGACTTGACCTTTCGGGACTGTAGCAGCTACGACCTTGACCCGTCGACACTGTAGCAGCTACGACTCCTACCACTGCTAGACCTACAGTTCAAGACCCGATGACCCCACTGACTACAACAGGCAAACAGGCGACTTTCAAGACAGGTCGCGGGTTCAAGCACACACGGGTCACTGGTACTGTACATGGGTGAGGGTGAGGTTTAGGGATCGAGCCCTGGGATCTGCATCTGCTACCGTAAAGGTGAAAACCGTTTCACTCCCGCCGGCCTAAATTCGAGGTCCTCCGAGAATATTTCAACGCAAGGCAGGAGCTTTACCTTTGCTCTCTCTGTCGTAGGAGTGCAATATGCCGGGAGCGGTCTCTAGAAGCTCTGTTCTTGTAAACCAGCAGTCGTCCTCGGGTTCCTGATAAGCGAACCTGACTTTGAATTGTTTCAGGGGATGACCCCTACCTCCAGTTATGAACAGATCCTCTTCCACAATGCAGTCTATATCATATGTGCCACCCATGTCTCGCGGAATCATCGACCGACGCGACGGGAATTTCTGGCTGGTGACACAAGGCAGCAACTTTGATGCCTGGAAGACTGGGTATGTGTGTAGGTGTGCCGGTATATCAATCGTGTAAGAAGGTCCATTCTCTCCGCCCTTTACTTCTAGCACAGGCCACGGTCCCCTGTACGCAGGTAACGACTTCTGTGAGATGTTCTCTTCTGGGGCAAACTCCTTAGACTCGACACATACTAAATCACCTACCTGGAACTGCGATGGGCGACGATGCTTATTAGCTTGCTCTATCATTTTGTGCTGAGCTTTTCTCAGGTTCTCAGTCACCCTTGTGATATCTCTCTCATGCTGCAGCGCAAATTCTCTAGTTTCGGGTGGCAGTCTTGGTATCTGGTCACGATTCAGTCGTTCAAACGGCCTGCGTGGTCTAAAGGACTTATGTAACTCGTTAGGAATCTTGCAGGTAGCTAAATGAACACTATTGTTGTAGGTGCTAGCTACCTTGGGGAGCATCTCATCCCAATTAATCTGATTGGGTCTAATGTTCATCCTTAGTATCTGCTGCAGGATCCTATTCATCTGTTCAATCTGACCGTTAGTCTCGGGATGACGGTCAAATGACATCCACAACTTCGAGCCGTATACTCGCATAAGCTCCTGCCAGTGCTGGCTAGTAAACCGTGTATCTCTATCACTAAATATAGATAGCAGAATATCATGCTCACTTACCCAGGTATAAAAAAACTTCTCTATAACTAACTTTGTGCGTGCCTCAGAGGGCGAAGGAACAAAAACGACATACTTGCTAAGACGATCTACTATGACCATCGCTTGGCTCTTGCCATGCCTACTCCTGACCCCAACATCCGTGAAGTCAATGGACACAGGCTCTTCGGGTCCTGATGGGACAGGCAAGGGTCGGAGAAGAACCAATGGAGCGCGCGTCGTAGTTTTGTTGCGCTAGCAGACTTTACAATTGCGGACGTACTCTATGCAGTCAGCCTTCATGCTAGGTCATGTGTAAGCACGTGTCAGGTTGGCTAGTGTCTTTTGCCAACCAAAATGCCCTTCTGTATCGTGACATTCCCCTAAGATCAAACTGCAGAACTCTTCGCTGTTGGGAATGCATAGCCGATCTATGATGTTTGTCTTCTCAAACAACAACCCATTAGTGGTGTGGTAATCAGGTTCACTGGCTGGGTCCTCGATGACTCTCTTCAGGAGGTCACTGTAGAAAGGGTTTTGGCATCTTGCACGTACGCATCTATGACTTTTTGCTGTAAGTTTGTCCCTATATCCAGATAGTGAACTTTTAGCTCCAAAGTAGTCGACTCTTCTACTTAGGGCGTCTGCAACGACATTATACTTCCCTTTGACTGTCTTGAGCTCAAAGTCAAACTGATCTATCTCTGCGGCCCACCTAGTTAGCTTACGTGTCAGCTTGGCCTGCATCTTCAACCACCTCAATGTCTCATGGTCTGAATAGACTTTGAAGTGCCTCCCAAGCATGTAGTCTCCAGTGGTCTAATGCTTGCCTGAGAACGTAGAGTTCCCTCTCATAGGTGGATGTCGCTACCTTCTTTGAAGGCAACCTAGCGGACATGAACTCTACGGGTCTATACCCGTTGCCATCATCTTGTTGTAAAACAGCACCAATACCACACTTACTTGCATCAGTGGTGTCAACGAAAGGTAAGGATGGGTCAACTACCTTGAGGACTGGATACTCTATCAAGGCCCGTTTTGACTTCTTCAGGGCCGATGTGCAGTCTTGGTCCCACTTTTAGATTGCCTCCTCCCTTAGCAATCTGCGAAGGGGCGCAGCGATTGTAGAGAAGTTCCTCACGAAATTCCGGTAATAGTTAGCCAATACTAAAAACGACCTCAACTCTGTGAGTGTGCGAGGACTTGGCCAGTCTCTAATCACGACGATCGTGCTGTCCTCAGGTTTTATGTTGTCTCCTTCTAGGACGTGGCCCAAGTACAAAACCTATGTTTTGGCCCACAGGCACTCCTTTGCGTTGATCTTGAAGTTTGTTTCGCGCAACTTTCCCAAGATCTGCCTCAAATGAGCCTCATGCTTCTGGAGGGTCTTACTAAAAACTAGGATATCATCTACATAAACAACTACAAATCTATCTAACCACAACCTAAACAAATCATTCATGCAACACTGAAATGTGGCCGGTGCGTTGGTTACTCCAAGGAGCATCACTATAAACTCGATAGTGCCCATATCTTGTCCTGAACGCCGTTTTGTATTTGATCATCAGGGTCAACCTCAATCCGATGGTACCCTGACTTCAAATCTATTTTGGTGAAGTACTTGCAGCCCTGCACCGGATCCAAGAGCCCCATCTATATGGGGCAATGGTTCTGCACTCTTTACTGTAACGACGTTGAGACCCCTGTAGTTAATACACATTCTAAGCTCTCCCTCTTTCTTGGGGACAAAAAGAATTGCTGCACCAAATGGAGATGAACTGGGCTTGATCCAAACCTTCTCTAGGAGTTTCTTTAATTGCTTGCACAACTCCTCAACTCCTTGGGAGACATTCTATAGACCGCTCCTTTGGAGTCTTACTGCCAGGCTTTATCTCAATGCGATGTTGGATAGGACGCGGAACTACTCCTGAAGGAGCCTTTGATAGATCTGCATACTCTTCTAGCAGCTTGGCAATAATGGGTTTAGTTGGTTTCTCTTTCTTAGGCTCAGTGACTCGCCTAACATAGGCCACAAAGACCTGCGCGTCTAACTGCTCCTTTTTCACTAGTCGCGCGAACACGGGAGCACTGAGACATAAATGTGCCAGAGGGTTGTCTACTCCTGACACATGGAACAGGCGGGCTATCTTGACACCACCTGAAGGACTAGGAAGCCTCATTCATGCTCTTTTAGATGCAATGTGGCTCATGCCGCCTCTCCCCAGTACATTCCTAGGACCATATCAAACGGGAGATTGTCCTCAACGAGGAGAGTTAGGGAATGAAGAACTCTCTCAACTTTCCCATCTTTCTCTAGGGGAAAGTACGACTAGACTCCCTCGACGGAATCCTCTATTTGCATCGTGCGGTTCTCTGCGAGGATACTGACTATGGGCTCATTTAGCTTTTGGACTTTTAAATTGAGCTTCAACTTTTACGCTCTGCGACTAATATAGCTACGGGTGGCCCCACTATCTATAATGGCCCCTACCCTGCCTCTAAAAGCTTCTACATCTACCAACACTAGCTGCCCTTTTACATCTTTCTTCATCTTGGCCGAGACTGGCATCCTCTCCTTCACCTCTTCCGCCAATCCTGTGAGGGAAGCGCCTAGAGAGACCCTAACACAAGCAGTCTCTAGACAACTACTTAGGCACTGACCAGCAACCTCTGCCATATACACATGTGGGTTGGGAGTTTCTATCTGGCGCGCACACTCATCTCCACCTGGTCTAGAGGTAAGGGCAGTTGCTACCGCTACCGACGGTTGCCTTTTGCTGACTCTGCAATAGCTTGTCGAGCATCCCTATATTTTGGGCAGTATTTTATGATGCGCCCAAGGTCGCCACAATACATGCACTGATCTGTGTATATCCTCCTTTGCCATACAGTTTGCTCCAAGCCCAACGATTCCCAGGGTCCCTTGAGGCATACCAGGGTACCATTCACCCCTCCTGGGAAGTGACCGATTAGAACGTGGACGGTTTGACGGGGGACCTTGGCCCCTTCCTCCCTCTTGGTGGTTTCCCCTGCTGCCAACCCCCTGGCCACCCTGTCCTTGACCACAAGAGGCCTGGCCCCTTTGGCCCCGGCCTCTCCCTCTTCCTTGCGGCCTCCCCCCGACCGTGAAATAGCATAGGTCCTCGTCTGACCCTCACCACTGTCATCCTCGTTGAGGCCCCACTCAATCTCACTATAGGGGACCTCCTCCATCCACCCTTATCTAATGTAAGAATAAGGCTATCCTTAGCCTTGACTTGGCTGGTGATGGTCCAACCCTTCCAATTTTTACCTTTGTCGAGGTCCTTGTGCCAGAAAGTGGTGACTGGCGTGGACTGGGCCTCGTAAGCAGCAACCTCCCTGCTAAGTGTATCATAAGTCATATTGGGCTGTTGCTTTTTATCGAAGAAGTGGCCGTGCAGAGCTTCGGGCATTGCGAGGTAGAATAATTGGACCAGCTGGGCCTCAGTGACCCCATGGCCAGGGACGACGACAAGTTCGTCCATGGCGGCCTTGAGTGCTCTTGCACTCTTGAGCTGTCGTGAGTGGATTGTTTGCAGTTTGTCAGAGGCCTAGTGACATCTGCAAATCAATTACAGATGGCTTTCATAAATTCACTCAAATGAGTGATAGCGGAGTATGCGACCATATCGTTCTATCATTTGGCAGCGCGTGCGAGCGACCTAGCAAAGCTGGCCGGTTCCTCTTTCAGAGCGTGGAGAGCCACGAGAACTTGGTTCTCGAGAGCGATATCTTGCAAGTGAAGTACGAGTTAATGTTGGCTTCCCAATTGTCCAAATCTTCGCCCTTCAGGGAACTTAACTTTAACGCGCTCTCTTTGTGGCCGTGCCTCCTCTTCTTCGGGGGCCGCTATCTTGGCGCCTTCAATGGCACTATTGCAAAACCTCTTTGTGCCTTCTATGGCAGCGCGCTATTCAGTTCCCACACGCATCCTCCTCTTCTCTGGGGGCCGCTATCTTGGCGCCGTCAATGGCACTATTGCAAAACCTCTTGTGCCTTCTATGGAAGCGCGCTATTCAGTTCCGACATGCATTATCATACCTCGTGCAAACTCTTTAAACCTATGTGCATGGATTGCAATGCAATATCATGGCCTCTCAAGTAGCGCAGCTGCTCTTTCTGGGCCCTCAACATCACCTCCACATTCTGAGATAGAATCTCCACTTTCTGTTGGAGATCCGCCTGCGCCCCCAATTGCTCCCGTTTCCTCAACCGCCTCCAACTCTCTCTCCATCGTTTCGGCCGCCTCCAAACGCCTCCTCCTTTCCCTCGCAAGGCGCAATTTCCATTCTAACTTCTGCTCTTCCTCCTTGGCCTGTGGATGCAAGGGGTTCTCCCCCTTCTCCAACTCCATAAATGCCTCCCTGTCTGCCTGGGGAACAATCAACATAGCCTCCGTCTCTGACCGGCGGTCAACGCTGGTCAACGGCCGGTCAAACTTGGTCAACCCCACCGGTCAACTCCTGACCTCCTGCTATGGCTGCTGACCCTTCTCCTTCGCCAAGCTCTTTCTCTCTCTCCTTCCACCTTCTCTCTCCTTCTCCTTCGCCCACCTTGGCTATGGCTTCCTTCTTCCTCTTTCATCTCTCCCTCCTTCCTTCTTCTTTCTCTCTCAACTTCTTCTTCGTCACTTCCATCTTCTCCTTCCTCGCAAGGTCCGAGCTTGGCGGCTATGGCTGCCACTTTCTGCTCCAAGGCTGCACAACCAATCTTGTATCGCTCCTCTCTCTCTCTCTCTCTCTCTCTCTCTCTCTCTCTCTCTCTCTCTTCGAATGACAAATTAAAATTTTTACAGTTTTACAGTAACTTTTACTGCCATTAGTACCCATTATTGAATTGGCATATGTGTGTGTGTGTGTGTTTAATTTGTGGAAACAGAATGCTGATGGTGGTTGGGGTCTTCATATTGAAGGTCACAGCACAATGTTTGGTTCCGTGCTTTCATATGTTTCATTACGGCTTCTCGGCGAGGGTCCGGAGGATGGAGAGGACAATGCCATGTCCAGAGGAAGGAATTGGATACTGGACCACGGTGGAGCAACCTTCATCACTTCTTGGGGCAAGTTCTGGCTGGCGGTAAGCTTCTACTTTGTCTTCTTCTTCTTCTTCTTCTTCTTTCCCTAATAAGAATGGACCCAGTTTCGTAAGCCTCCATCCTGTGTGTCTCTCTGTCTTTTTTTTCTTTTTTTTTTAATGGCTTGTTAGAATTTGTTTCCCTTCTTCAGGGTTTTTATATAATTATATTTATAATCTATCAAGAAAAAGGGATCAAGGCTCCGCTAATCCAACTTCCCTTACATGATTATTAAGCATGTTCTTATTGTATCCAGCCGCCTCCGGCAGGAAAACTCTCGTTTGGGTTTTTATCACCAGTTTTTGAAGCCATGGCTCAAGAAATCTCAAGTGGAATTTCAAAGTGGTAGCCATGTCTTACAAAATCTCAAGTAGGGGATCATATCCTCGAGGAATCCTCAACTTAGGGGATCATATCCTTTTATGCATTCAACCCTGGTGACTCCAATAACCCTATCCTTGGTTGTCAACTTGCCACCCGCTCTCTCTCTCTCTCTCTCTCTCTCTCTCTCTCTCTCTCTCTCTCTCTCTCTCTCTCTCTCTCTCTCTCTCTCTCTCTC